CGTGGAGCATACACGTACGCTAAGTTCCCATCCAATCTTGGATTTTTACTGAAGGAGGTGCAATCGTGGTTTGCACACAGTAATATATTCGATGTGGTGTATTTCAGATGCATTGAGATGGGTCGGCCATGCCATCCGCATGGAAGACCACCGAATACCCAAACAACTGCTGTACGGCGAACTCGCAAGTGGCAAAATAAATCTCGGGAGGCCAAAAAATCGGCTCAAAGACACGATAAAGGAAACCCTCCAGTTTGCACAGGTTACCCCCAAAGAACTCGAAAGAACGGCTACCGAAAGGAACGCCTGGCACAGGGCCGTCCATCTTGCCAGCAGAAACAGCGGTACCAACTACAGGAAGAAGCTGACTATCAGAGGAGAGAAGAGACATAATCCGACCACCCCAACCGCGACATTCCAGTGTCCCCACTGCTCAAGGCATTGCACACCCAGGATCGGATTGCACAGCCCCCATGCGCGTCCACAGAAGAGCTGCAGGATTTCCTCGTCATCTTCTGCAATGAAGGACTACCTACAGCATTTCAGTCGATATTCATACACTGAATGCAGACACACAAAGTGGCACAGCTCACTCAACCCCATTCATGAAAACGTCGTCAACAAGGTGGTTAGTCAGAGGAAAGGTGCTATATAACATCCTTGTGAATTGGGAGGAATTCATCTGTTACGAGGTGTGTCTCAGAATAAAGTTTCCCTGTCATGCTGTCCTCACATATAATTATAAATCACCTTGTATTTGGTTTAAAAGGAAAGCTTATTCAAATGCCTATTCAACGTAGGAACCATCAAGTTCATGAAATTTCTCCTTTGGATGTTTCCAACGGTCAAAGACAGTGGTCAGTGATCGTTTGTCCAAGGTCTCGAGTGCCTTTCTCATAGCCTCTTGAATCTGGTCCTCGTCCTCAAATCGCCGACCTCGCAGCATTTTTTTCACCTTGGGGAAGAGGTTGAAGTTGCATGGGGCGAGATCAGGCGAATTGGGCGGGTGCACCATTGATTCCCACGAGTAGCCCTCAAAAAGCTCGTTCACAACTCTGGACTTGTGAACAGGCGCGTTGTCATGATGCTGGATGACGCCTTCTTCAAGCAGAGCGGGTCTTTTTTCCGGATCACAGGTCTCAGCTTGTCTTTGAGGACGAACCTGTAGTAGCCACCATTGACAGTTACGCCAGGTGTGACTAGCCAGCTCAGTATGATGCCGCTCATGTCGAAAAAAACCCCAATGTGCACCACCTTTCTCTCCCCATGTTTTCTGCGTGCGCTTCATCTTTCATGTCAGACCTCCCACCTTCAACCTCCCTGATCCATTTCCTTACTGTTTGAATTGATGGGGCATTATTTATTCCCTGTTAGTTTGTATAGGTCACCATGGGTTTCAACTGCAGACTTGTTGAGAAGAGTTGAAAATTTGATTACAACTCAGACATCGTAGCATGAGAAGGTTGCACCTATGTTTTGCTCAGCCATTTTCCTCGGATTTGCCTTGGACAAAGTACAGAAGCACACCACACTTGACACGTCACAGCCCTATGACCCGTTCACCAATGAACTTGCAATTTGGCGTTGAGATTTCTTAGTCATGGTGTCATGACCTCACAAACTTTAGTGGCTGTTGGCTGCGTACTTTGAGTTTTATTGAGGAGGGAAACTTTATTCTGAGACAGACCTCCTACTTCCAAATAGCCCAGCTTGATAGCCCATCCGATACCAAGTACAAAGCACGCCTGAATAAAGAGATGTTGCAGAACATAATTAATTATTTGCTGTTTCGTCACGTCAATAGTGCAAGAGTTTGAACACATAAATTAAAAATTTCAAGCAACCAGTGCTCGGCGGAAATGCTGTTGCGCATTTACAGTTACGCCAAGAATGGTTGCAGCCCACAACTCCAATATACTCTACGACTATGGAGGAATTTCACAAGCTTCTGCGACAGAACAAGAGGCAGGGCATGTTCATTTGGAATGTGTCGATGACAGCATCAGCGATGAGGCATCTTTGATGCGTCTGGCTGCTTAAAGTAACACTTGGATCTGTAACTGTTAGAGATCCAATTGTATATGTTGGGACAATACTCCACCTTTACTTGTTTTTGATGCAGTCATTGACCAAGACGAATTCCAGGCTCAATCAGTATCGTTTTGTTTATAGTTATAGTCTATAACCAAGATGGATTCTAGACTCAATGGAGCCCTATTTTCTTCTCAGATGACCATGCTGTCCGGGAGTTCATTCTTCGCTCCCTGGATCTTCAGAAGACGAAGTTGGCGGCCATTCGCAGAATTACCATGTGGGGTGATGGTGTTACATCCCAGTATTGGTACCACACTATTGCCAATATAAAGAGTTAGACGTTACATCCACAGTTCTGATTTTGTTCCCCGCTTAGAACTTTTGAAATTCTAATCGACAGGTGCGAAGCACATCTCACGACCTTTAACTTTATGTCAGATTATGAAGTGCAGAGATACCAATTCGGACTCGAAAATGGCAACGGTGAAGCGGACAGGGCGATGGGGCTTATGTGCCTACTGACCAAAATATTCCCGCGGGAAAGCCTATAACTCTCCACCAAAGTGCACAATTCACACAAAAATTGACAGGAAGCAAACTGAACCACCCGGAAGAAGAAATATGTAACAAAAACAACATGAACAAATAGATTTTTTTCTCCAAATTTAGCATCTGCGTTTGTTGCCATTTTTTTTGGGTCCAAAAGTTGACACAAAAAGTGGCAAAAGTTGCCTTAAAGGTTGCCATTAATTTTCAAGCTTTCAACTCTCTGTGACGACGTATTCTAGCAATATGTTGATAGAGGTAACTTAATCTAAAGTACCAGAATTTCTTGAGCTCTGTTTTAAGTATCCAGAGTATCATTTGTAGCCACGCAGAGTGTAAAAACGTTGAAAAAAAAAGTTTTTACAACTGAATGAAATCCAAATTTAAACAGTACGTACACAACCACAAAAATTAACAAATAAGGGTGTGTGTCCATCTATCTGAAGATCGGCTATCTTAACCCTTAACCTGTGTAATTCTAGAAAATGTACACATGAAAATTATAGTATCACACACGAGAGGCCTGCCGGTGTCAGTATCCGGTTTTGGTGGAGACACGCTCTAACATAATGGTGAGGCAGCGTGGTGAAATCAGACTGATAATAAGGAAATACGTGCTCTTTACTGGCCAGAGCATGTTTCTAAACAAAAAATCAGGTAGGCATTTGGTGCCATCTATACCACCCTCAATATTTTATGATGTACCAGCATCATGTTAATCCTTATCTATAAGAACAACACCTTGACCGTCTTTTAAGTCTGTGTGAGTGTCTTTTATCTTTTCTGACACTGTAATTTAAAAAAAATTTGTTCCATGTTTTTATGTTGTGCTCCACCTTTATATATATATAACACATGTATATATATA